GTATGCAAATTAACTGCCATCTTTGTTGGGTTAATTTGCATAGTTGCTCTGATTGGCTGGTGGGCATAGTGGAGTGACACCAATTTGCATGTTTCTCTTTTATTAGTGTAGATATAGGAATACATAGGTAAATATATATAAGGATTTAAAAATTCCATTCATGAGAGTTCCACCCTCATGACCTAATCACCTCCCAAAGGTACTACCTCCTAATACCATCACACTGGGGATTAGGATTCAACATAGAAATTTGGGGGGAGTAGGTTAACATCCAGTCTATGGCAGTAGGTTAACAGCTATGACAGCTATGGCAGGCTGTCTTAGTGACCTCACACAAAACAGTTTATTTCCCTCTCATGTAACAGTTCAGTGCAGGTATTCAGAGAGCAGCTCTCCACATGGTGATTCAGGAACCCATGTTCTGGTCTCTAACATCATCTTGTGGCCCCACTGTCCCTCAGGGCCTTGGATCCCTCTGCTGGGTTCCTGCCCTGCCTCTTTCCGAGGCAGGGGATGGGAGGGAGAGAGGTTCATGTGGGAAGTTTTTGTAGTCCAAGCATGGAAATAGCAAAAATCACTGTCACTTATATTGCCGTGGCCAGGACTTCATCCTTGACCACACCTCACTGCAAAGGAAGCTGGGAAATGTAGTCCTGTGTGCCCAGAAGGAGATAGTTTTGGTGAGCACTTGGCAGTCTTTTCACATCCATTCATTCAGTGAGTGTTTGATGAGCACTTGCAACATGCCAGGCATTGGGGCCACAATGATGAAGAAAACAGATGAGCCGCTGTTCTTACAAAGCTGACATGCCGTTAGGGGCAACAAGCAATAAGTAGATAAGCAGATAAATCATGTAACACCAAGAACTGGTTCTTGCTGGGAAAGGAAAACAAAGCACAGTTAAGGGGAAAAGTGCTTTAGGATGAGGTGGCTAGAAAAGGTCTTTGAAGAGGTGACCTTTAAGCCAAAATCCTGAATGAAGTAGGGGGTGATCCATGAAGACATCTGGGGGAAGAGAATTGCAAGCAGCGGGACAGCAGGTACAAAGGCCCTGAAGTGGATGTGTGCCTGGCATGCTCAAAGAGCAGCAGGGAGGCCCATGTGGCTGGTGCAAAGTGAGCAAGAGATAGATAGAGGGAGATCAAGTTAGAGACCGGAACATGGGGCCAGATCACTTGGGGGCCTTGGTGAGGACTCTTGCTTCTCCCCTGAGTGAGATGGAACCACAGGAAGGTTCTAAACAGGGAAGGAACATGAACTGATGTGGGTGCATATAGGGAACAAACGGGCAGGGTTAGCCGGGAGACGGACAGGAGCAAGGAGACTAGGAAGAAGCCACTGTGGGAGGTAGTGGATGGAGCCGCAGAAGAAGTGGTGAGTTCTAATCAGTTTTGAAGATGCTAGCAACAAGATTTACTATTGAAGTGGGCATGGTATGAGGTCAAAAGCAGGTCCAGGGTGACTCCAAGGCTCTTGAGTAGGACAGCTGAAGGGATGGTGGTGCCATTATTGAGAGGGGGAGAGGCAGATTCAGGAGGGAAGGCCAGGAGCTGAGTTTTAGACATGTTGAGCTTCAACTGTGAGCTCTTGTTGCATACATAATGTCATCACTCCAAGCGACCCCATGAAGTAGTTAGTATCAACCCCATTTTATACATGTGGAAACTGAGGTACTTGCCCAAGGTCACATGGCCAGTAAGTGAGGGAGCCAGAGTTAGAAGTTGTCTGGCTCCAGGGGTCACACTCAGGGGAGTAGGACCCAGGGAGGGAAGGTTTGCCCCATCCTGGAATCTAGAGATGACACTTCTCTTGCCTCCAGGGAGAGCCTCAGTACTCCAGTCATTCCAGCAGCAATACCCTGTCCAGCAACGCCTCCAGCAGCCACAGTGATGACCGCTGGTTTGACCCCCTGGACCCTCTGGAGCCAGAGCAAGACCCCCTCTCCAAGGGCGGCTCCAGTGACAGCGGCATTGACACCACCCTCTACACCTCCAGCCCCAGCTGCATGTCACTGGCCAAGGCACCTCGGCCGGCCAAGCCACACAAGTCACCAGGAAGTATTGGCCTTTGTGGGGGTGGGCGTGAGTCCACTGGCCATTCCCACCATGCAGACAGGCGAAGGGAGGTCTCGCCTGCTCCTGTGGTTGCTGCCCAGAGCCAGGCCTACCGACCGAAGCTGTACAACTCAGGCTCCAGCACCCCTACAGGCCTGACCGGGGGCAGTCGCAACCCACCAAGGCAGACCAGGTAAGGCGCTGCTCCTCGCCCGGGCCCTTCAGGGGATCCTGACCCTTTTCTACTTCCCCCACAGGCTTGATGGCAGGGTCCCAGCCTCAGAAACATGCTCACAAATGTATGAGCTTGTACAAGAGTTTGCTTACAGAGTTAGGAGGCTCATGGAGCACCCCGTGCTGCCCATCCATCAGCCTTCAAAAACACAATAGAGGGAGAGAAACCCCTGGCTGGTTGTCTCATCTGTCCCTGATGTCCTCTGTCTCTTTCTCCCTCTGCTGAGACCCATGGTTTTTATGCTTTCTGGGGTCACAGAATGCATCTGTTAGGAGTGTGTTTGGCTGGAGGTTATGGGAAACCTGACCCACACCAGCTTAAACAAATAGAGGTTTAACTGTGCCCTGAAGGAAAGTGCAAGAGGACAGAGCCTGGCTGATGCAGCAGCTCAGGGAGAGCCTCAGGCTGTACCCTGTGTCTTCCTGCTCCCCCATCCTTACCACGCAGGCTGCCACTTCCTGGTCTCTGGGTAGCTGTGGAGCCCCTGGGGAACGTGGAGGCAGAGAGCAGAGGAAAGATTGCAGCATCTGTAGAGCTCATTTTATATGGAGAAAACAAAAGCTTTCCCAAAACCTTCTTCAGCAAGCAGTGTCACATGACCATCCCAGAGACAATGAAGTCTGGGAGATCATGGTATAGCCTTTCAGCCGACACAGTAACGTGCAGTGGTCCCCAGATAATCCCCTGGAGGGCTGTCAACACAGAAGCTGGGTCCCACTCAGTAGGTCAAAAGGGCCAAAGAATATGCTTTTTTTTTTTTTTAAGTTCCCAGTAGATCCTGGGACTACACTTTGAGAACCACTGGTAGAGAGACTGGCAGGGGAATGAGAAAGAACAGGCACTGGAGAACCAACAACCTGGAGTCCAAACCACACACTTTGAGAATCTGACGAAAGCAGTGAACCATCTCCCAGAAAAATGCAGAGGATGAAAAGTTCTTTTGCAGCCATGGGGCTCAGCCTGGTCCATGGGCCCCTTCAGAGGTCTATGACTCCAGGCAAAGATTATTGAGCTGCCTGACCCTAAGGTGAACCCCTTAAGAACCCCTTAAGCCACAGCCTCACAGCATCCCTTCCCTTCCCTTCTCTGAGCACTCCTTAAAAAAAGGTGAAGCAAAAATTTCCCAAACAATACTTAGCCTGTGTGCGAAGCACTTAGTTCTAGTCTCGTCTTTTTAAAATGTTAGAATGCTGCTTGATACCTCCTGAAGTGATGTCATGATTTCACAGTGGTTGTGTGGCAGATTTGGATTTCAGAGCACCTGTAAGTCGGTGCTTCCCCTTGCCTCAGTGCACAGATCCTGAGTCAAGGGGCCCAGGAGAAGGGGGAAGGTGGGGAGAGAGAAGTGTCCCAGCTCGGTCCCTGGTCTCCATCTCAGGCTGCCTCCCTAAACAGATAGTCTTTAATTGGAACTCACAGCTCCTTCATTCATTCATTTATTTATTTATCCATTCACTTCGCTCACAAATACTTCTTAGGGATTTGTTATATCCCAGACACCTCAGCCCACCACCAGTGAGAGAGACAGATGAGAATCAGATCATCGCTGAGACAAATGTCAAATGTCAGACAAATGTCCCAGGTCTCCGCTGCAGTGGCCCCTGTGCTGGACACAGGCCTATGATAGTGACCTGAGTAACTATAGGGTTGCAAAATCTTTGACATAAAGGTAGCAGCGCTGGGGAGTAGACTAAAGCTGAGGCAGGAGGTGGGTATAAAATTACCCTTGTCTGAGAGGATTTACTGAACCTAGAAATGAGGACAATAACATGGGAGGGGAGCCTGCTAGGAAAGAGGGCCCTAAGGTTACAAGCTTTAATTTGCATACAGACAATTGATGCTAATTGCACATCATTCTTATCTAGTCATTAAAGCTGCTTCCGGAAGTTTTATCCTAGGCAACCAGGCTCTAATGTGGAACAGCATTTCCCAAAATGCTCTAGGTGATTTGGGTGGTACAGGAGGAAAACGTATTTGAAATGGATGTATGTTTGCTTTAATGGGTAGTATTAAAGAAAGGGTTGCCACTCAATTCTCTGATTTTATAGATATTGCCTTGGACAAGTTCAGGAAAATTAAATGAGTTGATTTAAAGAAACATCTTTACGGTAGGTAAGAGTGTGGGCTCCAGAATCAGCCCACCAGTGTTCAAGCCCTCCCTCTGCCTTGTCTTGGCAGTTATTTTTGAAAAGAGAAAGGAAAGATTGGGTGTGGAAAGGGTGTCTCTGTGCAAGTAGCATGTGCAAAGATCCTGAGGTAAAAAAGAGGATGGGTACCTTCAGGTCGCTGAACAGGCCCCCCAGGCTCAAGAGTAGAAATTGAGGGGGCAACTGAGTTTGGGGAGGTCAGCAGGGGGAAGACCATGCAAGGCCCTTTCAGCCACATTAAGGAGTTTGGATTTGATCCTAAGAGCTGTGGGCAGCAAGGGAAGTTTTCAGCAGAAAGGGTAGTGCAGACAGATTTATGTTTTGAAATCTATGTTTTGAAGTGCTATCCTGGGGCTGAGGCTGAATGTGAATGAGAAGGAAGAAGGCCTGGATCAGAAGACAAGACAAGTGGCACTGCCAGGACATAAGGAGGGAGACAGAAAGGGTCCAAGACAGTGCCAGCAAGCTATGTAAGAGTCAGGGCCAAATGCTGCTGCAGACTGGGAGCTTGAGATTCTTAAGAGAAGAGCAGGACTGGGCAGGCTTGACCATTAAAGCACCCACTTTGTGCCAGGCACTATTCCCAAAATGGCGATACAGCAGGGAACACAGTCAAACTAAGTCAACTTCCTTATGGAGCTGATATTCTCCTGGTGAGAGTGAGGCAGACAACTGAGCTACCATGTAATAGTAACATGCCAGATGGCGATAAGGTCTGGGGAGGAGAACACTCGGGGCTACTCTAGGGCAAATTATTCTGGGGGTAGTAGGAATGAGTTTGCAGGCAAAATTTGAGGGATGGGCCTTGTCATGCTCAAACAGGGAACCCCCACAAAGACGGATGCCCTCTTACACTCCAGCCATGCTGGGGAGGGCACTGCAGCCTGTAGCAGCTTGTGCCCACTGATGATTTCAGTGCACAGACTCTCCCCCAGACATTCGTCATGGGAGCCTGGCTTCCAGGCACACTGCCAGGCGCCAGCACCTACTGTGGGCACCACAGTGGGCTGTGTGATCCCAGGCGAGCAGCCACCTGGACCCCTGCCCTCTCCTGAGGCAGCACACACTCCAAACCTTCCTGGGTTTCCAGGGCAATTTGTCAGAGCTGTTCAGGAGCGATCAGAGGCTCCGGCTTCGTGTAGAGCTGACACAGCTGGGCGTTCCCAGGCAGGCAGGAAGCACGTGGCTTCCCGTCCCAGGGCTGTGCTGCAGAAATCATCAGATACCCTTCTGGGGGCAGAGCCCCAAAAGGTAATGTGAGGGCCTTAGGATCCATTGGGGCCCACCCTACCTGTGTTAGCCAGGAGACTGGGGTCACGCATGCCAAAGACCTCCAAGAGTCACAGTCAGCTTGGGAAGAGGAACCCAGGCCAACTCAGGGAAGGTGGGACCATGAAGAGATCTTGGGGGAGAGAGCAGTGCAAAGGCCCTGCAGTAAAATGTTTCTGGCATGTATGGGAACAGGTTTCATGCAACTGGAGCAGAGTGAGTAGGAGGGAGAATGGAAGGAGCTGGAAGGCAGAGGGCCATTACAGGTGGCGTGTGGAGGGCTGTGATCTTACTCGGATATTCCCAGACTCCTCCAGCTGTATTTGGGGGGTGGGCAGGAGGAGGCCGCTGTGATGGTGAGCGGGCAGTGGTTGGTGGAGGTGGCCAGCGCTGGTTGGATCCTCATAGACTTTGACCCCATAGCCTCTCTGCTTCCACTCTCTGAAGACCTGCCACTTCTGCTCCCAGGCCACAGGGTGGAATACGGCTACTCATGGCTACTACACTGGAGCGTTATTCCAGCCACATGCAGGGGCTGACTAACTCTTGGGCCATGGCACACACCAGGGAGAGAGGGTGAGATTGGTCCTGCAGTTAAGGTCAAGCATCAGGGGCCCACCTAAGGGTATCTGGGTGAGCAGTGTTATTTCCCAGGCTCTAACTATGTCCAGATCACAGCTCTACCACTAACCAGCCATGTGATCTCCATCGGTTTCTCTGAGGCTCCATTTCCTCATCTGTAAATGGGGGTAATGATAGGCTCTGTGGTCTAAGGCTATGTGGATGAACCGACATTATGCATTAAAGTACCTAGCACAGCCTTAACTGGTTTGGCTCAGTGCATAGAGTTTCGGCCTGCAGACTGAAGGGTCCCAAGTTCGATTCCGGTCAAGGGCATATACCTTGATTGCAGGCACATCCCCAGTAGGAGGTGTGCAGGAGGCAGCTGATCGATGTTTCTCTCTCATCAATGTTTCTAACTCTCTCTCTCTCTCTCCCTTCCTCTCTGTAAAAAAATCAATAAAATGTATTTTTAAAAAATAATAAAGTACCTAGCACAGGGCCTGAGATATATCTGGGTCCAAAAATATCAGCTGCTGCTAGATTTTTCTGATCACTCACTACATATTGATTGTGACTTCTGTTGTCATTGAAAGTATAGGCTGGTGGTTAAAATCAGGTTCTTTCTCTTGGGCCAGACTGTCTGGGTTTGCACCCTGGCTCCATTCCCTCCCAGCTACGTCATTTGGGGAAATTATTTAATCTCTCTGAGCTTCAGTTTTCCCACTTGAAACATGGGGATGGTGGTAGTTCCTGCCTCTTGGGGTTGCTGAGCTAACTAAATGAAATGACAGCTGTAAGATGCTCAGAGCAGGGCCTGGCGTGCTCACACCTGGCAGGATCAGCACTGTCACTGTCTCCTGCTCCACCACTGCTCTTCCTCCTGAAGGCAGGAGCACAGTGCCCTTTGTGCTTGTCACCCACCCTAGGCCACCCATCAAGACCAGAGCATTGCACATATCCAAACAGCTGTGTGATTGC